GGGCTGTCCTAGTTTTTAGATGCAAAATGAATCCAGAAAGCAACACCCAGATTGTTATGTCATTATTGTCACAGAACCATGAAGCCATTGGGTGGAGGTGATGCTGGTGGGCATTAAATATATAACATTTCAGCAACACAAAACTAAAATAAAATAGTAATTAAAAAGTTTATTTTCTAACTAAAATGAAATATTTTTGAAGAATATATCTCAATTTTGCCATGGAAACTTTGAGAAATAGTGTTCTTTTGATAAATCTTATATATAAATTTATTTGGTTGCCAGCTTCTTCTGAGTCAAAATCCACAGATAATAGGAACTAAAAGTCCTTGTAGATGAGTATGGGATAAAAAACTTCTCAGACTTGGTTGTAAATATACTGACTCAGGATCTCTTTGTTGTGGTCTCTTTCCCCCTCCTCCATATCTCACACATATTTCATAGTTGGCTCCACACTTCCTTCTCAAATCTGTTCTCTCTCCCATATTTCCATTTTCATTGAGATACATCAATCCATTCAATCCATTCAGCTAGAAAACTGTGTGTCATCACTCTCCTCCCAGCCAAATGGCCAAGTCCTAGTGATTCTGTTTCTTAAACCTCCTTCGATTATTTCCTCTCATTTCCAGGCTCTCTATGACAGCTTTAGGTAGGCCCTCATTTATCTCACTTGGATTTATAAATTATTAGTTATCTCTCTGCTTCTACTCTCTCCCTTTCAAATTCACCCTCCCCATTAGCACAAGTGCTTTTACTTTCTCAACCCTACTTCAATACTTACATGCCTCTTTATTGCCAGCAAGAGTACTTCATATACTTTTTAATGTTACAAAACCGTGTAACAAGTGCTGTAGTTGACTTATGCAAGATACGTCTGTGTTTCAAAGGAGGACAAGATCAACACTGATCTATTTTAATGCAAAACCTACTCTGTCTTCCCCACCGCTTATAGGAGGGCTCACACCCTCAGACAGGAGACCTTTGACAAAGTGGTATATGTTTAATTAAATTGAGACTAGAACACAAGCTTTGGAGAGTAATATATTCAAATTTCTAACCCACCGGGTACAAGATGTGTATCTGCGCAAGTCTTTATATATTTTTTTAACTCTAAAATGGGAATAATTATGCCTACAATACAGAGTTTATGTGATGGCTCATTGAGACAATTGATTTTATGTTTCTAACACACTAGCTAGTGCATAGTAGGTATTCATAAATATTTGTACTTGTTCCTGTAAAGACGTGTAGGAAAACAAGAAGATGACTTACTACGAAAAGTCCCTTCAAGCAGGGAAAAACACAGAAAAGAACTTGTCCAAGTGTAACTGTATGGTATATTTGAGGAACTCTAAGTGATTAAGCAGTTTGAAGGGGAGAACAAACAGGATGTAAAAACTGAGGGGAAAAAAGCAATGGTTTGTTCATAGAAGATCTTATGTTTTACCTTATATCCCTTCCTCTATACTAATCTATTTAAGCCTTTTCAACTTTCTGGTCACTTTCATTCCCTCTGTAACTAAGTTTATGAACTTAGGAGACCATATTCACTGTTTCTATTTTCTCAGACAACTTTGGTCTAGTTTCTAGTCCCATCATTCCGTTGATGTTATCATCGACATCACTAACAACTTCTTAATGGCCACATCAAGTGGACCCTTGACAGCCCACAATCTTCTCGAACTGTTTGGAGGATTTTGGTATATTACTCAACTTCTGGAAAATCACTTCTTCCTTGATTTCAGTTATTTCTTTCACTTTTATGGTTTTATTTTTATCTATTTGGCCCTTTCCTTACCATCTCTTTCAGGAGATCCTAATTCTTTACCATCTCTTAAATCTGTGATTCTGTCCTTGGTTCTTTTCTTTCTTTATTTTTTTTGTCTCTTTTAGAACTCATCTTCAAAAGTAACTTTAGGTATCTACAGGGTCCTTATAATTCTCAAATCTAATATGTGCTATAAGCCCATACCACTCTACTTATAATTTTAATCTCCCTACTAGACTGATTTCTATAAGAAGCAAAAACCTTGTCTTTCTTGTTCACTCCTTTGAACTGTCTAACTGTGGTAGACTGCATTTCTGTTTTTAATTCTTTGCTCCTTGCTGTATCCATTTACCATATGATTTTACATTCCCTCCTTTAGAGACAATACTCTTTCCTAACACATTGATGTTGGCCTTGGCCATATGACTTGCTTTGACCAATGCAACATGGGCAGAATGACAGAAATGCAGCACCAAACCTAGTCATAAGAGGTGCTATGTGCTCTACCCTTCCCTCTAGTGTTCTTGCCCTCCCTCTGTCATAGAGTTTCTACTGGAAAACTGATGCGCATTCATCATTCCCTCACTGGAATGATGGAACCAATTTATTCTAGTGATTCTGTAGTTGTGCAGAATGAAGCAGAACAGTCCCAGCCAACCTATAATCTTGTGGCTGGGATAATAAATAATTAATATTTCAAGCCGCTGAATTTGTTGTTTATTTTTGATGCAATATCTTTGTAATATAGCTAAGATACTAGTTGATACTGATGTGCAGTACATTTTGATAAACATTTGTTGATGAATGAAAATGGAGCCTTTGGGTTAAATGTGATCTTAGTCAAAACATAATTATAAACCAAACATAAATGTTGCAGTTCTTGTGAAATGGGCATGGTGAGAGCTGGCAGCCATGGAGTGGGTACTGTTTGGATCTCCTTCTAGAAAACCTGTTGGAGAATCATGGTTGACTGTGGATCCACCATATTTGTACTGAGGCCATCTTTCTACCAGTCTAGTTACAGCCAATGAGTAAGCACAGCGTGCATACTAGTGCTGTCCCATTCCTAAAAAATGCAGAGTCCCTCTCTTTGGCAACTTTGGCTAAGTGATACTTCATAGGTGAGGTAAGACTTTCTCGCAGTTTTGCAGTTTGGCTCTTCCTATTCAATTCTTCTTTCCTCTCTCTTTTCACAGACCAGCATTGAGGTCTAAATATCTCCCCCTGCCTGCTCCTGCTATCTTCCCTTCATCCTTCATAGCTCCCGAAGAACATCTCTTTTATGTCTAAACTTGTCTTGAAATTTGATTCTCAGAGGACCAGAACTGACAAGGACCAAGTGCTTAGTCTATTTTAAGCTGCTCTAAAGTGATGTTCCCCCTGAGAGACACCTAATTGCTCATGAGAGCACAGTTGAAAATGACTGGACTTATGAGTAATATCCAAATTTCTCATTACAGCACATGTGATTCTTTAAACAATGCTCTCTACTTTATTTTCTGCTGCTTCTCCCTAGAAATGCTAGTCTCCACCAACTTGAAGTGTTACGTATATCTATATGATCACTTTTAACAAGCAATGTGATGCTTATCACATAGAAATACTATCTGCCAATGAGATACTATCTCACACCAGTCAGAATGGCGATTATTAAAAAGTAAAAAAAAAAAAAAAAGGTTGCTGGTGAGGATGTACAGTTACAGGAACACTTACACTATTGGTGGGAGTGTAAATTAGTTCAATCATCGTGAAAGACAGTGTGGCAACTCCTTAGTGACATAGAGGCAGAAATACTATTTGACTCAGCAATCCCATTACTGAGTATATACCCAAAGGAATAGAAATAATTCTATTATGAAGATACATGCATGCGTATGTTCACTGAAGCACTAGTCATGATAGCAAAGACATGGAATCAACCTAAATGTCCATCAGTGATAAACTAGATTAAAAAAATGTGGTACATAAACACCATGGAATACTACACGGTCACAAAAAGCAAGATCATGTCTGTTGCAGGAACATGGATGGAGTTGGAAGCCATTATACTTAGGAAACTAACACAGGAACAGAAAAACCAAACACGGTATATTCTCACTTAGAAGTGGGAGCTGAATGATGAGAACACATGGACACATCAGGGGAACAACACACACTAGGGTCTGTCAGAGTCAAGGTAGGGGAAGAGCATTAGGAAGAATAGCAAATGGATGCTGGGCTTAATACCTAGGTGATGGGATGATCTGTGAGTAAACTACCATGGCACATGTACCCCTGAATTTAAAATGAAAGTTGAAGAAAAAATAAAAGGAAATACTATCCCTAACAAAGTGTAAGCAATTTGGGACAATAACCATTTATTTTTTGCTGTTAATCACCAGACTAGTAATTATTCTAAAAATACATTTTAATAAATTTAAAAACAAAGCAGGGATTCTACAAAAAAAATTATTGATTTAATCCAAACTTTTTCTCTACTTGCAGATCAAGCCACCAGCAAATGCACCATTAACCTGACCATTCAAGGCAGTTACCCCACATCTTGCAAAAATAGTATAATATGATAACTGGCTACACTAACTAACGTATTGTCTTTACAATGATAATCAATAGTTTTAAAAGATATAATTTCCTGGTAGAACTCTATTTGTTTTGTTTTCTACAAATTTGGTGGTAATGATACAAAAGTAATTGAACATTACTTTAGAAATAATATGTATATTATATATATACACACACACACATAATATTTTTAGGAAAATTATAATTCTGCTCTTGCAGCTTACAGTTCAACTTTTCATTTTCCTTTACATACACAATAACAATGACATCTCAAAATATGGCATACAAAGTTGTCATTTTTTCTAGATTTCTGTACTCTCATGGACTTAACTGGATCCAGTTAAATCTATGTAATAGTACAGAAATCTGTAGTATCGAACTGGAAAAATTTAGTAATCCTCTCCTCAATACCATAGTCCATAAATTTATTGAGTCCTCCATTTTTTAAGGTTTTACTTTTTTCTATTAAAATGACACATGGCCAGATGTAGTGGGTCATGCCTGTAATCCCAGCGCTTTAGGAGGTGAAGGCAGGAGAATGGCTTGAAACCAGGAGTTCAAGATCAGCCTAAGCAACATCGTGAGACCCTATCTCTAAAAAAGTAAAAAAGACAGTTAGCCAGGCATGGTGGCACACACCTGGAGTTGTAGCTTCTCAGGAGGCTGAGATGGGAGAATTGCTTGAGCCCAAGAGTTCAAGGCTGTGGTGAGCTATGACTGGGCACTGTACTCCAGCCTAGGGGACAGAGAGAGACCTTGTATCAAATAAATAAATAAACTTTTAAAAAAATAAGAGACCATAGAAACAAACAAAACAAAATCCTAGGGGGAAAAAACAATATAAACACATATTTTTTATACTCTGAAGTATACATAATTACTCTGAATCCCACAAGCCCAAGGAAATAAAATCATTATGAACACTTTGGTATATTTTATTTAAAATATAGATAGATAGTTGCATATAAATACAGACCCATAAATGCATATTGCAGCATATGTAACTTTAATATAATGGGATATATATGTGTGTGTGTTTAATATACATACACAAAAATATGTTTTTTTCTAGGTTTAGTCTTATGCATCTTAGAGGAGAAGGGGAATTAGGAACTAAATGTATTGGTGGGGATTTAAATAAAAAATTCTGTGTCAAATCTGTGGAGTTTGTGTCTATGAGATTCCCAAGTAAAAATACTGAGGAAGCAGTTTGTATGTATGTGGAGCTCAGGGGAGAAGTCAGTTATATGATGTTGTAATGCTACATTTAAGGTTTTATGTCAAACTTTCAAATGGTAGCTCGTTAGCTTCTTCCTGTGGTATCTGAAGTGATTTCAACTCACTAATTTATTCAACAAATATATATTGCATTCTCTGGTAGCTAATACAAAGTGATACATAAAATAGTAAATATGTAGCCAATCAGAAGCTTATAATCTAGTACAAGAGATGATAAACAAGTAAGCAAAGAACACTGTAAACAAATATTCCAGATAGTAATGAAGAAAAAAATGTTGAAAAACAACGGCTTGTTTTGAGTTGGGGCATTTTAAATGGGTAGTCTGAGAAGATTCTTTCCGAGGAAGTAACTTAGATCCAAAGTCTAAAGAAAGAACCACATGTTTGATCTTATGATTGGGGGACCTGTCAGGCAGAGATGAACTTAAGAGTCAAGGTCCTCAGAACAACAAAGTTAATATTTAGGAAATGCAAAAAGGCCAATGAGGCCAAAGTATAATTAGCAGGAGAAAATCCTGTGACATAAGGTTAGTATGATAGAAAAGGATGGGTCATATGGAGCCTTGCAGGCCTTAGTGCAGTGGTCAGATCTTATTAGATGTACAACTAGAGGACATTGGAGAGTTTTATGTGTTATACTTTCTGGCTGTTGGGTTGAAAGTAGAAAAGAGTGGTTCAAGTGACAGTAGAAAGACAAAGTAGAAGACTATAGCTATGCACCTTATAAGACATGATGGTGCTTCTATTTTTGAAATATTTTGAATTTAAAAAAATCTGACTCACTTTGGATTTCCTATAGGAGTTATGGATGCAAAGATGTCAAAGATGACTCAGTCCTAGGTTTTGTCTTGAATAGTCTGATGGCTGATGATGTCATTTACCGAGATGGGAAAACTGTGGAAGAAACAGGCAGTGAGACACACCAAAATAAGAAGTTTGGATGGAATCTTTTATGTCTGAGGTTCTATGGAATATAAAAGTAAAGATATGAATTGACAGGTAGATAGATGAATTCAGAGAGCTTGGAGTTGTCAGCACTTTGATAAAATTCAAAGCCATGAATGAGACTATGCAAGATCATCTAGAGAAGCAGACCAAAAAAAGAAGAAGTCTAGGACAAAACTCTGAGAAACTGTGATATTTAGATCAAGTTCAAAAAGGAGGAGCCAGCACAGGAGACTGAAATTAATCAGACAGCAAGTAGCCTGGAAACTAGATGAATGGGGTATCCCCGATCCAAGAGAAATAAATTTTTCAGGAGTCATCACTGGGAGGAATGCTGCTGAGAGAGCTAGTAAAATGGGACAGAGAAGTGGTTATTAGAATAGTGAACTACATTTGGTCAGTGGAGTTGACAATAGCAATTTCTGTGGAGATGTGGGTTCAGACACTGACTTGCAGCAAGTGGAAGAAAAAACAAGCAAGGAGGAAGGAATACAGCCAGAGCAGATCATTTGTGCATGATGTCTAGTGGTTACTAAAGGCAAGAAAATTTTGGCAATAGATTTTCTTTGCTTTTTGGATGTGAGGTGTATATATATATATATGAATAATTCTGGAGAGAAAGACCCTTGATTACACAGGAATGAGAAGGGGTATCTTGTAGATGCCCTTGAAAAGATAAGGATATGTGGGATTCAGAAAACAAGTACAGGGTTTGTCTGGATCTTGCAATAGCTACAGTTTAACTCTTGTACTAGGAAGATAGAAAATACAGGAACAAATGCAAGTAGACATATAGATTCACCGCTGTGAATTTTTGCCTGATTATTTCTACTTCTCAATAGAGAATGAAGAGACATAATTAAGAATTGGACTGGGTGCAAAAGAAAGGGTGGCCGATGATGATTGAGAAGAAATTAAAGTTACAAAAGAAAAGTCTCAAGATATAGGGAAGTAGAGTATAGGAAAAGAAAAATGGTAGGTTTTTTAAGGCAGTCTAGTGCATTTATTCAGAAGTTTATTCAGGATTTAAAATTTGACTTTAATAAATCACTTTTTTGTCTTATTTACCTTTCTATGGTGTGAGTGTTTCTTTTGAATTTGTGTGAGTTTTTTATATATGAAGATATTATGCTCTGGAATGTTTCTTATAAATTTTTTTTTTCCATTTGGGAAGTTACCTCATACTTTTTCTCATAATTTTTGGCATAGAAAATATTTCATTCTATTTAGGTAGCATAGAGAATGTTTTATTTTATTTAGGTTATTAAAACTATGAGTGTTTTCTACTGTTTTATTTTCCAGGCTTCCATTGCAACTTCTATAAAAAGTTCAGGAAAATAAAGACTTTCAACATTATAAAATTTCAAATTATAAGTGATCATTTTCAACTGATGAATCTCATTGAGGATTTTCAATTGATAAATCTCATTGAGGAAGACCAGGAATCAAGAGGTAGAAGACTAACTCAGCAGGTGGTACAGCTTAGGCTAGAGAGCAAGTCTGCCCGACTCCTGAGCAGTTTGTGACATTCATGGTCCCAATCAATATCTCTTTTAATAGTATCTAATATTCCAAAGCTAGGGAACCTCGGATTTTACCTATGCACCATAGAGTACTAGTTACCACATGGAGATGTGGAGATGATATAAATGGAAAGATATCTTGCTCTACAGGTAGTCTAGAGGATTAGAGTCTCTGGGCTGGTACCTCTTCCCTGGTACTGCTGGACTACAATTTTTGGGACATCTGTACTTGGTTACTTTTTGTGTCTCGCAAAAGTGTCCTGTGGATTCTTTTTAAGTTGAATCTCAAACTGGACCAAAGATATTAGATGTTTGTTTAGGCATGGGATAGAATTCAAACATTACTAAAAATCTAAAGCATGTAAAGTGGGGTTACACGCTATAAATCTGATTTTAGTGTTTTGAGCTCTATTAAAGAAATTCTATGCAGTTTGTACTTTTGAATGGAATCTCCTCTGTATGATAGTGTTTTCCTTCAGTTTCTAGTGCAGAGGGAAAAGAGGGAGGGGAGAATTTTTGAGAAGTTTTAGCATGTTAAAACTAGCATATAGAGGTTAGAATATGATCCTAGAAGCAAAAGAAGCACTTTTATTTATTTACACAATTTTCAAAGTAAGTACTGCCCTTCAAAACCTTCCTTGATGAAAACTATTCAAATACTAAGTACGTTTTCTAATTAACTAGTCACTATCATCTTGTTTCAAATATCTTGAAACTAAATCTTTATGAGAACTGTTGAATCAAAGGTTATAAAGAAAAATTTTTGTACCTTTACTAAAATATGCACATCAAAAAGAAGATAAGGTCACTCTAATTGCCTAGATTGTTATATTCTACACAAGGCTAATCAGAAAAGTTATGTTGCAGCTGTTAATCCAGTCAGGTATAACTTTCCCCACATGATGATATGAATGTCCAAACCTCCGTCCCACTATCAAAGAGCACATTAGCACTTTTGCAAATAATTAAAAACATTTTCAACTGAATAAAGGGAAGTTTTTAGCAGCTTGGGAAATTTTCACTAGTTTTTCTATTTACACTGTGGTAATGATAATTCATCTCTTACCTATCAGTATCTGGAGGATGTTTAATATCATTCCTGTGGATTATCATGTACATTTTTAATTAAAATTCTCCTCAGACAACTTTTTTTAAATAAACACAGCATAACTGTCTTAGTCCTTACTGATTTGAATAACAAGCTGTATATGCCTATCTGTGTGTTTGTATGCACAGATATATCTGTGTAATACCTAAAAACCTTTTGGCCTAGGTGGGGCTCGGTTCTCCAAGTCTGGCTAGTTTGTTTTCTCGGATGCCTGTATTTTGTTGAAAACAAGCATGCTCAGCTGATGAGGCAGTAGAAATGGCAGATTCTTTCTGCTAGGCATTTTTATTTTTTTCTGATTTTTCATCACAAGGGACCATTTTGACTTTCTAGCCTTGATACTGAATTGACCATTTTGAAAACTGTAGACTTCATTTACATAGAATTAGAGGTGATGGGTGCAGGAGTAACTGCTGCATTATAGACCGAGTTATACTAGGTAACATATACAACAGTGTGGTTATGATTAGCCTGGCAGTATAATTGTGTCCATGTCACTGTATTTCTTGGAGTATTGATGACTTTTTTTTAAAGCAGTTCTTTATTGGCCGGATTTCCAGGAGTACCCACCAGACGTTTATAGTTTTGGACATTGCCAACAAAATGCAAGTAATGCCTCTCAGACATTCTGGTAATCAAAAATGTCCCTTTGTATTTCCAAATACTCCAAAGAGGAATAGGTAACACCCCAGGTTATGGACTACTAAATAAATGATTTCATAAAGGTCACACTAATAAAATTTTCCAAGTGTACCCTTGTTTTACTCTTATATCTTGTTTTACACTAGATCTTCTAAAGCCCATCCGAAAATGCTACTTTTTAGATACTACCTAAACTCTAGTACAGCTCTGCTCTGTAAGATTTCACGAAGGGCAACATCAAAATTAGGTTTGTTTTTGTTCTCAGTGCTAGTTCCATCTTGGGTTCACTCTCTCCTGCCACAAACTTTGGATAAAAATGTAGAGTGATTTCTCTGAAAGGTAATACTTTGCCCCTTTTGTGTTTTCTTTTGGAGGCTCTCTATTTCTTCCACTCTATTTGCTGCTTTCCAACCTATGGTTTAAGGATCTAATCTCCAACACGTGAGAGATTCTGGGGTGAGTTGAATCACTGTTCACCTAGAGAAGAGATGAAAGATCATAAGCAATGTTTGTATATACCTGGGTTAGTAGAGTTACTAGACAGAGTGGATGGAATATTCCAAAAAGAAAGCTAGGAGATCAAAGGGGATAAAAAAAACAGTAAAATGTTGCCAAATTAATAATACGTCACAAAATCAAGGGGAAAATAAAAATTTGAATCACTGGAACTGTGTAACAGGTTGCATATTACCTATAAGGTAAATCAGAATCATCTGAAAACAAAAAGCAGCTTCTGGTTCACAAGCTGTTTCTACCCACTTCTGCTTTTTTCATGTGGGTGAAGAATTATATACTCTGTTGACTTGGGAAATTTTATAAGGAGGTAAGTGCATCTAATTAGGTATCACAAAGCTCACATAAGATAAGATAAAAGATAAGACAAGATAAGGTTGGTACAAAAGTAATTGCAGTTTTTGCATTGTTGAAATTTGCCTTTTGATATTAGAATAAGTTTTAAACAAATGTGGTTATGTTATGCATCATTTTAATACATTTCTCGCTTTATTTTTTTTTTTTTTGCTAATGACGTATTACTTGCTGTTCATTTTATATTTAGTTTAGACAATGGAAATGATGTCAGACAAAAAGCAAATTCAAGTGATTTTCTTTTTTTATTATTATTATTATACTTTAAGTTCTAGGGTACATGTGCATAACGTGCAGGTTTGTTACATACGTACACTTATGCCATATTGGTGTGCTGCACCTATCAACTCGTCAGCATCCATCAACTCGTCATTTACATCAGGTATAACTCCCAGTGCAATCCCTCCCCGCTCCCTCTTCCCCATAATAGGGCCTAGTATGTGATGTTCCCCTTCCTGAGTCCAAGTGATCTCATTGTTCAGTTCCCACCTATGAATGAGAACATACAGTGTTTGGTTTTCTGTTCTTGCGATAGTTTGCTGAGAATGATGGTTTCCAGCTGCATCCATGTCCCTACAAAGGACACAAACTCATCCTTTTTTATGGCTGCATAGTATTCCATGGTGTATACGTGCCACATTTTCTTAATCCAGTCTGTCACTAATGGACATTTGGGTTGATTCCAAGTGTTTGCTATTGTGAATAGTGCCGCAATGAACATACGTGTGCATGTGTCTTTATAGCAGCATGATTTATAATCTTTTGGCTATATACCCAGTAATGGGATGGCTGGGTCATATGGTACTTTT